GGAGACTGCGACCACACCAGAGGCCACAACATCTTGGTCTTCCTATATTCAACGAAAAATAAGGTTCGCTTAGTCGCCACGACACAGTGCCGATGAGTCATGCTCCGAGTGCAATTGCGGAAGTAGTAGTATTAATTGGGCGTGTTTTCGCCATTGCATTCAACGACACTACTTACTTTTGATATGAGTAGCTTTCGAGGGCGTTAAATAGGACTGGAACGTCCGGTGGACTCTGGTGTTGAGCGTCGCCGATGACTCGTTTGTATTTGCCCTCGGCCCATGTCGGATCGATGCCGCCAGACTCGCCGAGGCGAGTGGAGCCGCATTCCGTCTGGCCACCAGCCATGCCAGTGGACGAGTCGACCCGACCTGCCCGCGGCAGGGCTCTCGGCCAGCTCCGATGGGCATGACTGAGGCGCGAGACGAGGCCGACCGCCACTTGGCGGCCTCGGACCGGTTAACCGGCATGTTGGAGAAGCATCGTCGTCTCTACGACGACATCTTGAAGCTGGCGCGCCTCTTGGACTCTGAGCTGTCGGCGCCCGACCTGCTGGCGCCCGAGAGCTCGGGCGCGAGCCCGGGCCCGGACTCGAACTCGAGCTGCACGGGCCGGTTGATGATGATGAACAACAACGCCAAGAAGAAGGCCGGCGCTCGTCGCGCTCGGCCGGCGCCGGCCCGGCAGAAGGACAAGGGCGAGGCCGGCGGAGCCGCGGCTCCCTTCGCCTCGCCCATCTCGGCCGTCGACTGTCAAGGCGCCACGAAGATCCTGTTCGCCCGGACGGACGGGCTGACGGCTCGCCTGATGGCGTCGCCGTCGGGCGGGGTCGCGAGGACTCGCGAGACCGAGGTGCAGGCGCAGCTCGGCTGGCCGCAGTTCAGCACCGGCTTGGCCAACGGCCGAGACCGGCTGCGCGTCAACATCGACTTCCGCCTGCTGCCGGAGCCCAGCACGTCGGAGAGCTGCGATGACGAAGAGCCGGCGCTCGGCCGACTCGTCAGTCCGGCGAGTCCGCGCACTCCGCGCAGCCTGCTCGGCTGCCCGGCGCCGCCGGGCTCGCCGGCCTCGCTCGTCTCGCCGTCGACGCCCGAGGCCACCTTCCGGCCGGACAAGGGCTTCCAGGCCCAGCTGGGCCCCGCCTATCCGGACGGCCGCAACCTGTTCATCTGGAGCCTGTCCGGCTTCACGGCCGTCTGCCAGCTCAGCCTGCACCCCTGGAGCGAGGCCTTCCATCTGGGCAGTCCGGGCTATTGTCTGCAGGCCAAGGTCGAGCTGACCACCGACCATCTCGGCCTCTTC